GAAAACAGAAGGATTTTTTTAAGTTTTGATCTTTGTCTACAGGCCGATTTTATTTTCATTTGCTTGAATCTTTCTGTTTCCATTTTTTCTTTATACTCAAAGACAACAATTGTTTTATCTACTGAATCAGCTGAGGATTCCTTAAGGTCATTTTTGTTTGCCGGATTTTCTCAATAAACCTCTATTTTAGGAAACAAGGAATCCATTTAGTTCATAATAGGATAAAAGAATGCAGAGAGCACCCCTCGATTGTCTGTGATATACGGTTACCTTGTCGCATGAATTGGTTTACTAACCGTTTCTCTTTGTTGCTCAGTTAGGCTGAGGCACCGTAATACGCTGGAACAAACGAACACTCCTCTTTATGTGCACAATTCACTTCACACGATTGCTCAGGTGTCCTGTAAAAAGAACTTTGCTACTTCATTGAGAGAATATATGAGGGTTATGAAGCCCACTAAAGGTCCCAATTGACAGTGTTTCAGATTTGTCAGGGACGTGACTATCTGGTTGATGATGATCAAAAGACGATGGGTAAGTGGGGAGATTATGAGTACAAGCTTAACTGTCACCAACCTGTCACATGTCAAGTCTGCGTGCCCTAGATGGTTGATACAAATCCGAACACATCCCCGATTACCGATTCACGCCTGACTTGTCACATTCTCTTGACAGCGTTGAAAATCCATATCAGTCAGGAAACCTTCAAAGTGCTGCAGAAATTCAACTGTTTCATCATGACTGAGCGTGGGATGGTCCAGATGAAGGTAAGATTGCTATCATTTTTCTGTCTCTATTCTTTATTGGTCATTTACTGGCCAATAACCGTTTCTCTTATCCATGCTGATTCATGTTAGTGTGCTGTCATAGTTTTAATCTACGTTCTCACTGTGTTGAATACGTGCGTTCTTGTTTTTCTCGAAACTGAAAAGCTACTTGTCACGATCTAATTCAGTCTGTTTCCGGTTAGTTTCATTTGACTGATAGTTCAACACAGTCACAATGGGAAAAAAGCGGGAAATGAACTTTGACTAGCATCCAGAATTCGAAATTTGTACGGAGATTGACTGTTTGTAAAAGCCCTAAACAATTGATCTCTCATTTTATCGATCGATCGGCCGGAGTGAAGTAAAATACAACGAAATGGAGTGAAACAGTCAAAATGTTAGGATCTGCTTAACAACAGTAGTTCCGTTTGGGACTTCCGACGAATAAATGTGACCAGACCAACATCAGCACCAGTCTGGACAATGGAAGAAACCGGAACTGATCGTCTCTCGAACTCATCGCTATAATCAGTTTGACTTCTAGTATAATTTCATCGGTTAAGATGTCTTTTCCACGATGGACTAGTCAAAGTCTCTCACCCGATCTAAAGAGAATGCAGCTGGAAAACTCCTTTCTCCATCAACTGACATTTAGCAACAACAACGGTAATAACAACAATCCATCCTGTAACTGCTTGCAACTCACCGTAACGCATACCATTTGATCTGCTTGGAGAATCTAAGTGTAATCGAGATTTTTTCTCTGTGTGTAGTTTTAGTCGGTATTCGTTTCCAAACGAATGCAGGAATCAATGATCAATGCATGAACGTGAACAGCAGATCCTGTTAAGTGCGTGTGTGTGTGTAAAACCCTCTGAACTGCGACCTTCGGTTTACTGCCATTTTCACACCTACATTTTGGCACATTGTCGATTTTCCCAAGGTTGATAGTGATAAGTAATAATAATAATAATAATAAATAACTTTGGTCTCAGCAGTACTTACTTTGTAATTGACAATCAGTTGTTTAGTTTCGGTAATGTTCGGTTTGCATACGGGTGGAAAGAAGTAAAAGATCGGTTCTCCCATTTAAAGCGTATTTTATGCGTATACAGACAAGTTTGTTACTCGAAGGCATTTTAGAGAAATTTGGTTTGGGGAGGCACCGGACATCAAAGATGTGATTAGAAATGATAGACTGGAGGAGACTGGGAATTGGTTCTGTACCGCTTTCCGTGCATGACATCTGATCCTTCATAGCTTATTTAACTTCTCTTTCTCAAAAGATGCGCAGGGGGCTCCTAAACGCCACAGAGTTCGCGGTTTTCTTGTCATTTTATTTACGATAATACAATTCAAAGTGCTCTCTTTGGTTAGCTTCAGTATTGCGTGCCTAATCGTAAGTTATTCTTTATTTTACACATTTTCAGGGCAAGGGACATCAAAAAACGTATTGGTTGCATGGCGAGTTCTCATTTGTGGTAGACCCGGTACCGCCTGGTGCCGTTCTTGTTGGTGGTCCATATGATGGTGCGGTCGGACCTATCAAAGCCGGCGCATTTCAGGACCCGGATGACCCAGACGGTACTGCACCTCCAATGATCAATCGACCCCAAATTCCTCATTCAGAACCAACGTCACCTCAAGATGCTTCATCCCCACTAGTATCTGGTTCCGATTCGGGGCATTCATCGGCCCCGAACACCGCTCCTGATCTCGTTGACACCTCCGCACCTGTCACAACGATGACTACTGATACTGGCTCAGGGGTTACGTCCGCGATGGAACATATGCTCGCTGCTGATTCGTCAAACAATCAAACAACAGGTACTCATGCCACCAGCACACCGGCAGAGCCCAATAAGCGCAGAGTTGGGGTTTGCCAATTGAACGGGTTATCATTACCTACAGATCCCACAGCTATGCAAGTGTAATCCCGCGGCTAATTATCTTCCCTATTGAGTCCTCTCGACTTAGCCTTTTGGGTTGTTACCACAGGGTCAATGAACACAACTTACTGACTCGCCCATTCATCTATCCATCCACTCGTCTCCGTACTTCGCATTCAGACACCAACTGCCCTACCTTTCCTTTCATCCACCATCCATCCATCCGTCACTCCATCCCTCTGTCCGTTCGCCTAATCGTTCAGTCCCCACACTACTTGGTCTTTCATCCCCAAAGTGGGCGAGTGAGGAGTTGTCGGATGATTTTATACTCGTTCTGCTATTATGTCTTTCTGCGATATGCGTTCGGACGGCCTCCCCCCTCCCTCACTCTTACTCCGCGTGGTACCTCACTATCCGTGACCACCATGGGAGTATGACTTCGGGGTCGACTAACCGATCGGATAACAATGGCCTTGTATGATGGCATCATATTCCTAGACCCAGTCGATCAAGCATTTCGTCATCGGATGCCTTGTTCAGTTTTCGCCTCTCTTTTTTCACATTTACCCGCGTCCCAATCCATGTCATATCCCATTGTATACACACACAAACACATCGTCACAATCACCGATGCTGGTTATTTGTAGAACGCGTCGTCTTCTGTCGACCTTGTTTCCGACTTCGTCACCGCTGATATTAAAATCAGTGTTGATTATAGAGATAATGTGGATCGTGCTAATACGGTGACTGTGGTTGACACCAGTGGGCATTGATCACCAATGCCAATTGCTTGAAGAATTCGCCATTGCCCAAAAGAATTAATTGTTCCCGTTCCTGTTTCCGCGACTACCAGGGGCACCACCGTCCCCTCTCCTACCATCAACTACACCACATACCCATCTATTCTTTCGACTTCACTCAATTCATCATCATCTTTACTTTCTCTCTTTTTCTGTCCCTATTGTGTCCTATTTTTTCTATACACGTCCGATCATGTGAATATCAATGTGTGTGTGTGCGTGGATGTTTGTTTATCTCTCCTTTGCCGTATGTTCCGTGTATTTCTGTGTGTGGTTGCTATCACTGTTTCTGTTAAGGTGATGACCCAGAGCGAGCACGATCAGAACAAACTAAACTTGACATCTGCAGATGTGCTTGATTTTATCGTTACTGATATTACTATTATTATTGCTATTGTTCCATCCAAAATGAAGAAATAAATTCTCAGAAGCATTACAAAAGTGATTGCTGTCCTGATTTGAAGAGCGACTCGAGCCAATTGTATGCAATCGTGTTCATAGAAAACAATATCACGCAGGCAGATGAAAAAAACCGCAAAATTTTCACACTGCCGCCACCAGCACCAACAACAACAATCCTAGCACCGAGACTACGTGACAACAATGTAACAATGTAACTATCTTTTAAACCGTCACGCGCACAATGAATTCCCAAATTCTTGTTCCTGTTCCGGATCATTCCTCCCGAATAGTCAGGGCCGGCACAAGAGACGAGATAACAATGTTAGGCAAAACATGTCTCTTTATTGACCCCTTCTTCCATCTGTCTGTTGTTCTGTTGATCTGATGATTTGTATGTGTGAGGCAATCATACGAGTCCAATTGCAACCACTCATACACTTGTTTGCAATTTCCCTGATTTTGTAAACTTTATCTAATGAAATCCGCGCTCTTTCCAATCCCTACCCAAAGCCGCCGTTCTGTGCTTGTTGACATGATTTCCTAATTGTCGAATTGCCTGTCTCTTTCTGTCTGTCTGTTAGCCTATCTATTTTTTTACGGTCATTTATGGTCATTTGTCACCTGCCAAGAAGTCTCCTTTTGTTCAACGAGGCCTGTCCCATCTTATTTTGTCCTGTTCTGTCCAGTTCTGTCTTATCCCATTCGTCTCCCTCTCCCGACTCGAAACACACTCAGACGAGACCATCTGTGCTCCTGCTCCTCATCGTGATCAATTGGTAGTCCTATTTTCATACCACTCAGGATCTTCCAAATGTGTACAGAACGGTTCACACTGTAATGAAACAACTATCAATATGTGACCGACTCTCCTTTCCTCCGCCCACAACCATGTTGACACAAACACAAACGCACACACACTCAGTTATGCATCCCCACTCATGAGCATGTATCCTGGAGCTTGGATAAGCTCGAAAATCGTATTCTTATTCACCACTGTCGCCACTATCATGTTCAGCATCTTCGCCATCACGATCACATCGTCATTGGTCCCATGCCCTTGACTTTTGTGGGGATTTTGTTCGCTTTTCGTTGTTAACTACTAATTGAATTTGAAAGTAGGCAAATTATGCACACTGCAGTGAGAGGGCTAGTCCGTGTAACAACAATGGATGACGTGATCCGAAACAGAGAAATGAATATGAATGTTTTAATGGTAAGAAGAGCAAAACCCTTCACATCAAGTGGAAAATCCCTTTCTATATTGTGAACGAATAATAGCAATGAGGATGAGACGACTAGTTCTGAAGATTCGTTTTGGGCTGAGATTAACGGGTACTGATGATGAACTGCAAAAACCCTTTTGAGAAATGTTGATCGGGCAAGAAAAGTCGAGCTGTCTACTATTGGGTCAGCCGATTGACAAGTAATCTTCATTTCATCGTTGTTCGGGTGGATTATCTCATCTGCTTCCCCTGCCCCCCCCCCCAATGCTAACCTTTCAAGCAACGGGGTATTCTGCAAGGGATGTGAAAACAAATTCAGGCCTGAAATTGTGTTCTGAATGCGAGTATGGGCATATTTCGAAATTTAAAAGATGTGAAAACCTTTTAAAAATGGTGGATAAATATCAAAAATGACAAGAAGCACATGAAACGTGGATGCTAACATCGCAATTTTAACAGCCACAGTGCACACTGTATCGGAACATCTCGTTTTGCACGTGTGGTGGATCTGGACACCACAAGGGAAATCTGGTGGTTCACAGGTGATGGGAGGATTGGGCGATGAATATATTTACAAATTAACTGTATACTTGACAACGCTATTTGGACGTCTGGTGAGGCTGAAGATTTCGGGCGATAGAGGATGAGAATGGGGGGAATTTTGTATTCACAGGAAATTTGAAAATCAATTAGAAGCCAGCGCAAGAGCAGGTCTATATGCCATCAAATAGTTTGTCACGTGTAAAACACAAAGTACTTTGTCTTGGAATGATGGAATTGTTATTCGCACCAGTTATCTTTATTCGTTTTTACTGAGCAAACGAGTGTGCATTCAACTTTCTTAAGAAGTGGCTTTGACCTGAGGAAGTGCGATTGATTTGGTTGGATTCGAATACATGACCCCCTGATCCTTTCAGTGACTACTCATAGCGTTTCATAGGCGTTGCTTGAATGAAGGCAAAAGCAACGAATTTCGTATGACGAAGAACTAGAAAATATTGTTTGGTCAAATTGATTTGTAGAAAAGACAATCTACTGACTGAAGTTTGAGATTTTATGTTCTCGCCATCGTCTGGTATGCAATAAAATTGAAAAGTTTGCATTCTGTTCAGAGATTTAACAAAATAACTGGGTTCCTGAGAACGTCATCCCACCTAGACTCTCATGCAAATGGCAAAGACAGAGGTGTCCGGCAAATTTGTCAAATAATGGGCAGTAAAATATGAACTGATTTATTAATAGCAAAAGCATCCAAGCAAATACGCTAGTGCGTTAAAGTCGGGTGAACGATTTCATAAATGTTTTGTGAGATTGCATAGATCAAGACATGAGTGTTTTGTGAACAGGAATTAGAGACCAGGTTGAATGATCGGTTGTGGATAGATGATCGTGCGGATATTTAAAGCAAACTGTTTCATCTTCAAAACCGAGAATGATCTATGAGATTAAACAGAGTATCGTTGCGCAGTGTGAGTGTATTCCGGCTGCTACTATTCTGAAGGTGGAAGAAAACTATCTTCGCCCTATTTGGCTATGCAAGAATTAGGATGGAAAATATATTGGACAACTTTTGTAAAATAAATATGCATTTGACATAATATTTTTTACCTCCTCCGGATTTTTATCTTCAACGTAGTTCGCAAGATGGTTCAACGCTAAAAGCGCCAGCCGGTAAAATTCCAAGAGGAATTTTGCGTAGGTCTATATTAGTGAATATTGTAGTCCGTACGTAAGACAAGTTCAGTTCTATTATGCTTGACCATTTACCGACCCCTCTTAGAAACGTAGTACGTGCATCTTAGACGAGTCGAAAGTCAGCCCATGGTCATCATCTCTTGAACGTGTTTTTATTCCGAATGTCCCACATGACGCATCGTTCCACAACTGATTCTCTAATAGCACTTAAGCAGCCTCGGACTCAGAACTTATCCGCCTCCTATGCCGGCCCGATGATTACACGACTGATCTGGTTCATTTATCGATCGGTCGTATAGTGCAGCTGCAACAAAGAACCTGGTGCTTGCCCAGCTAACCCGAGCGA